TCAATTTGTGATTTTGTGTTTACGTACTCAACGAATGTTAATGCATTCTATTTGAATAAATTCATAGTTCTTCTTTTTTTATGCAACATTTCTATGTCAATACATAAATTCAATACTGCGATAACTGCAATTTTATGCATATACAGGGTGGTCCGAACTGTATTCTGGAAATTTCGGCAGCATAAAAATAAGTAAAAAAGTTCGTATAAATGTATGTTTTAAAATGCTGTGTGTAGAAGTTTCATTTTTGTTTCGATTTTTTTCAAATAATTTCTGAAGTAACGTCAATATTTGGATGAAAATGAGTCTCTGGGTGCTTTTTTACATGAGAAATTTGATGACGAGGTCAATATAACTCCTACTTGAAGGGGGAGGGACCTACATATTTTTAACTGTTATGAAGAGTAATAATTTTTCGTCCGTATCTGTATAAAACTACTGAGTAAAAAATATACAGTTACGACGTTTTTTTTACGTATAAAATGTCTCTTGGTAAAAATCGCTACGAGTAATGGTTCTCGTCATATTTGGAATCGAAATTATCAATACCTGTCATCATTGACATAAATTAAACATGTTGACCAAATAGTTATTAGACTGAAACTTTGAATAAGAAGACTAAGGAAGGAGCATATCAAAAATCTTAGGTCCACCGCCGCGATGGGCCTCAAATATGGCCGACTTAAATTCCGGTTTATCAGAGCCGTTCTAATTTTATTTAAAAAATGTAAAACTATGATGTAGGGTAGACGTGGGGTAGACTCAATATATTTTTTTTAATTTTACGTTGTGAATAAATGTTGGTAGTTATTAAAATTGTTATAAAAATATAAAATTTTAATAAAAATAGATAAGTTATAATAATTATTTATAACCATAAACATCCGATACGCTACTGAAGCAGGTAAGTCAAATTGACGTATCTAAATTCTTTGACATCTAATCTTTGACAAGTAGTAAATAAAAGCAAAAATGCATGAAAAAATATATAATTAGTTAATTTAAGTAAATTTCATAAATGATTGGTTTACTACACGTATGTATATTATATAGTCGCTTACTAGCGAAAAGTTGTTCCATTATTTCACTCGATTTTTGCTGAGATCTACCCCACGCTACACAACCAACTATTTTAGAGTCTTTTTCGATAAATTGCGATAGTGTCACTTAATTTAAGTTCTGCCACAATTTCCATCTAGATTTACTACCTTTATACAACTATCAGTAGTGGAATAAATAATAAATAACATAAAATAAGCTTCGTAAAGACTGACAAATCCACAAAATTTCAAATCAAATTCAAATGTGTCAAATGAATCGTCAAACAGAACTGTCAAGGATCCCGACCCTAGAGTCCTTTTTCCGCCCACCATGCATGAATACATGGATAGCATTATGCTCCTTCCTTAGTCTTCTTATTCAAAGGACTAAAATAATAAATTTGAAATGTTTTGTGGCCAAAAGAAACTGTTTTATCATCATTTTTTTGCAGAGAAATTTATGTTTAAATTTAAAAAAGTAAAAATTTCCCAAGTTTATTATTTCAGTCAAATAACTATCTTCTCAACGTGTTTTTTTTTGTCAATAATGACATGTATTGACTATTTCCATTCTAAATATATTGAGAACGGTTGCTCATAGTGATTTTTACCAAGAGACATTTTTTACGTAAAAAGTCACGGAAATGTATATTTTTTGACTCAGTAGTTTTATACAGGTACGGACGAAAAGCCGTTACTCTTCAAAACAATTAAAACACATGTAGGTGGCACTCCCTACAAATAGGAGTCATATTGACATCAAAACCAAACTTCTCATGTCAAAAAACTTCCAGACACCAATTTTCATCCAAATATTGACGTTGCTTTCGAAATTATTTGGAAAAAATCGTAATAAAAATGAAACTTCTACACCCTGTATCTCCGAAACTAAGCATTTTAGAACATACATTTATACAAACTTTTTCACTTATTTTTATCTGCACAATAACAAGCCAAAGCTTCCGGAATACAGTTCGGACCACCCCTGTATATGCGATAAACTAAATATAATAACATTTAACATTAATAATTGATCTAAACCATGCTCTACAATTGTACTAGCCCGTTCCGAGCCGTCGGATTCCTGGCCATGTATATTTCCATATCGTGGTCCGTCCAGTTATCCGAATTGTCGCAGTAGTTGTTGAGCGTGTGGGTCGATCCGGCCGTACTGTACCGGCTGCTCGGCCTGTGGTGGTCCCTCGACCTGGACCTCGGTCTGGACCGTCTCGTCGACGACGTCACAGAATGAGCCGGTCCGGGGTGCGATGGCATTCGCGCCGAGGCCCTCTCGGACTGCATGGCGAGCGACTGCCTGGATTGACGTAGATCTAAATGAAAATTGGGATAGGATTACAAGGTCTACGTGGCTGAAGCAAATAATAAGTGTGTGGTGATGCGTATTAGAAGCCAGGTTGTTGGAATGAATGCAGTTTGAGTTTATATTCATGAGTTTTGAGCAATAATGAGATAGAGAAAACTGTCTCAATAAAAGCTTTAAAAGAAGCAACTAAAATCTAGTTTAACTTATAAATAATATTGTCTTCTATTTAAATAATGTAATATCACTATATAGGGTGTTCCGAAATTAATGCAACAAAATTTGGTTATAGATTCTTGAAAAAAATAGGTGACCCGTATTTTTTATTTTTGGCCAGTGGCCCCCCTTTTCGGATTTACAGCCCCCTGAATTTTGCCACTAAAAAGAGTTTTTTTTAATATCTCAGGACCCTGTTGGATGAAAATCACTAAATTTGATACACGTTGTTTTACCATAAAATGACATTTTTTGATATGCTATTAACATTTTTTTATTTTCATCAGTGGCGTCCCTACGGTATTTAAACTAAATATTATTGAAGAAAAAATGATACCCCACTGTTTTTTTTAAATAAAAATTATTTTTTAAATCTACATTAAATTGGAGCAAATTTGATCTCTTGACTTTTTTTCGTACGACGCACCGTTTTTGCGTAAAAAAAATAAAAAAATAGACAATTATTTTAAACTTAAGTTTGCCGTTTTAAAAATTTACGGTAAAATTTAGCTATTTAGTCATGTATGAAAATGGTTTTTATTTTTTTACGCGAAACCGGTGCGTCGTACGAAAAAAAGTCAAGGGATCAAATTCTGCAAATCTAAGCATTTTAGGACATACAGTACGTCTGTCCGTTCTGTAGCTACGGGGTATCCGTGAGAGGGGAAACGATATTCTCTCTATGTTTTTCGTAAAAAATTAGACGACGCGTCCCATCAATAAAAATTCGACAAATTTGCAAGTAGCTAATAAAATGAGTGGGCGGAGCGATTTGCGGTGACGTACTCGTCAAGTCGACGTATAAAATATATTGTTGTTTATTTAAATGTTTTTTGTCCGCATTCCTTTCATAGACACAGATCCAGCAGACGAACTGTACATAAGGAACATTTTTACTTATTTTTATCTGCAGAATATGTTTTGAAGTTTCCGGAATACTGTAATATTTTTTAGGGAATCATTCGTTTCATTTTAAGGAGTTCTTTAAAAAGTTTCAAATACATTTTTCAACAAAATAAAATGGGGAAAACTTATTCATCATTTTTAAACAGACTGAGTCATTATTTACGATACTAATGATTGTCTCCTATCTCTATTTATTGCACAAAACTCTGAATACTCATTCTACGTCCGAAATTACCTTGTCTGGAAGCGAGCAAATTGCTGGGGAAAGCGTTAGCGGTGAGGTAGCGTCTGACTGATTGGAGAAGCTGTTTTGCGACTGGCCGTCGGCTATGGAGCGCGTTTTGCTCTTAGCACTAAAGTGCGAGCGCATATCGTCGAGCGAGGGCGGCTGGTGCTCCACGCTGTACATTCGCGGCCGCTGGCTGTGGATGCTGTAAGCGGATACCTGGTCCCAGTCCTGCGGGGCAATGGATAGAGAGAGTAGAGTGAGTGAAGTAAGCGGGGATGTTTACTGACCAACGAGTATCAAAAATAGAGAGCCGTAGGTAATTAGTAATACTACCGTATCAGTATAGATACCCACAATACAGGGTGGCGCACCTCATTTGTCTCGGTTGATTATACGAAAACGGAAATATGTCGAAACAAAATATTTTATGGGTGTATGTGGGAGGCAATGTGCATAATTTAAAATTATTTTGAAAGTACAGGGTGTGTCAGAAGTAAGATCCATGCCGAAGTTATATTCTTATGGACCACCCGGTATTTTATTCCATTTTTGGATTCTTGGGCATAAAACGGGTCATTTATTATAAGGGTTTAATATGTTTAAACGCTTTGGTTTTTGAGATATTAAAAGATATTTAAATATGCATGCTATAATAAAAAAAAATTGTCAACACCCTGTACATTACTTTTCAAAGTTAATTCTTGTGCTAACTTTCAAGCCAGAGAAATAAACTAAAAATTTAACTTCGTTATGGATCTTACTTCTGACACACCCTGTTCATTTCAAAATAATTTTAAATTATACACATTGCCTTCCCACATATACTCATAAAATATTTTGTTTCTACATCATTCCGTTTTCGTATAATCAACCAAGACGAATGAGGTGCGCCACCCTGTATACTGGGTGTTCCGAGGGGTGTTCCTTAATGACATGCTAATATTTAAGTGGGTTATTCTTGGACCTATTATAAGAGAAAAACTTCATATGAATGTATGTCCTAAACATCTTAATTTCTGAGATACAGGATGGTAAAATTTTCTATTTTTTTTTTCATAATAACTCAGATTTTATTATAGATATCTTTATGAAACTGGATACACGTCTTCTGTGCGTAAAATACCTTTCTTAGTGTACCGGGTGTCCCAGTAAGAATAGCTCTCGGCTGTATCTCGGAAAGTATTGGCCGTAGAACCTGAGAAGATGTAGATTGTAGATTGGCCGCTAGAGGACGCAACTGCTACGGCAAATAAGAAAATACAATTTTTACAAAATTCTGCCTAGATAAGGGCTACTATGAATAATAGCCTCATAATCTTAAGAAAATTTTGGACTTTTTTTGTCAGAACCATTTTTCTCTATCTGCTAAAATAAAGTGGTGGGGGAAGGTTAGATCTGTTTTTATTTAAATGTTATTAACTCCGGACTGGATGACCGGAATCTACCAAGTGAGGGCTCGTTTAAAAGAGCGTTTCGTACTCTATATAAAACCATATAAACAATAATAATATGCCTTTAACAGTAGATGCTAGAGGGCGCTGTCTTCCAATTTAACAAACAATGCAGGATTTCCCAAAAAAAAATTAAATACAACGGTATATGTAATTTCAGCTGATTGTAAAGAGAAATAAAAGTTTAAGAAGTCAGTGAAAACCGCATCTAGATGTCTTTTTTCAATCCGAACATATTAGCAAAAATATAATAAATACGAAAAAATTTGCCCTTAACTATCTTATTTTTAAACACGGTATCAGTCAAGCCTTCTAGATTATGCCCATTTTAACAACAAAATAAGATAGAAACAGTTAGTTTATTTTAATATCAACGAAATACCACAATACCATAATACCAGATGTATTAATATCTAATAATTAAGATATTAATAACAGCGAACAAGAAACGATGATTCAGTGAAGTAATGGTAGGCTTTGGAAAAAAGTTGCTTTTGACGTGATAGTATAAACGTCAAATTGTTATTAGATCAACATTTTGATAGTCTTAGCAGCGTTTTTTATGTTTTAATTGATTTTTCAGAATGCCTTTATTATTTGAAGTAGTTGAAGTTGTTAGAGCATTTTGAAAAAGCAATCAAAAGATAAAAGACTATCAAAATGTTGATCTAATAACAATTTGACGTTTATACTATTACATCAAAAGCAACTTTTTTCCAAAGCCTACCATATACTACTACTATACTGAATCATCGTTTCTTGTTCACTGTTAATATCTTAATTATTAGTCGTCGATTTTAAAATTAACTAACTGTTTTTATCTTATTTTTTTTGTTAAAATGGGCATAATCAAGAGGGCTACTGATACCGTGTTGTAAAAATAAGGTAATTAAGGGGCTTATTTTTTGGTATTTATTATAATTTTGCTAATATCTTCGGTTTGAAAGAAGAAGTCAAGATGCGGTTTTCGCTGACTTAAGCTTTTACTACTCTTTACTATCAGCTAAAATTACATATACTGTTGTACTTATTTTTTTTGAAAAAACGCGCTATTTTTGTTAAATTGTAAGAAAGCGCCCCCTAGTGTCTACGTTCAAGACCTTATTATTATTATTTTTATGGTATAATATAGAGCAAGAAACGCTCTTTTAAACGAGCCCTCCTTTGTTGGACTCTGATCATCCAGTCTGGAGTTATTAACATTTAAATAAAGATAGATCTAACCTTCCCCCACCACTTTATTTTAGCAGATAGGGGAAAATGGTTCTAAAAAAATCCAAAATTTACTGAAGATTATGAAGCTATTATTTATAATACTCATTATCTAGGCAAAATTCTGTAAAAATTCTATTTTCTTATTTTCCATAGCAGTTGCGCCCTCTAGCGGCCGTTTTACAAACTTGAAAATAATTTCCAGCAATTTCTCATAGCCCCTTTAGTTTAATATAATATAATTTTATAATAAATATTTTTTTCCGTAGGCTCCACTGCTAATACTGTCCGAGATACAGCCGAGAGCTATTCTTAGTGGGACACCCTGTACAAAGAATTTTATTTATTTCAACGAATGCCGTCCATACGGGTTTTACATTGAATATTTTCGGAGAAAAAGTGGTACAACACTGACTTCTCTTAAAATAAAAATTATTCTCAAAATCCCCATTCATTTTTAAACATTTTTTATCTCTTGATTTTTTTCATCCAATGCATAGTTTTTGCTTAAAAAAATTCAAGTCAGTACTTCAGGATCAAATCGGTGGAAATCTGATGCGGTGACTGTTGTGAAATCATTTCTGCATCGGCTAGAAGAAAATTAAGAAATAAAACAATTTTTTTTGTATATCAAAATAAGCATTTTTATGCATGAAAGACGTGTATCAAATATAACATCAGAGATATTTTGAAAAAAAAATTAGAAAATTTTACCGCCCTGTATCTGAAAAGTTAAGATGATAGGACATATTATATTCATATGAGTTTTTTTTTTTCTGGATGGATAGTTTTTCTGGACAATAGGCTCAAGAATCACCTCCTTAAATACGAGATTAGCTTGTCATTAAGGAACACCCTGTATATTGCCAGCTGCTAATGACCTAACTACACTTTTTTCTTAACTTTGCATTTCTTTTCTTGCCGACAAAGGGTTTTATTTTTGGATACCGTTGGTCAGTGTGATTTTCATTATGTCTTTAAAGCACAGAAGAAATATAATTAGACAAAAATATTGTCTCACACTCATGATATGGGAAATTTGTGTCACTTAATGTTTAAACATTTCCTGACGGAGGAATATATTTTGCCCTAGTATGTCAAATAATTTTAAATCCTTTTTTTGCATTTGGTTTGGTTTGGTTTTTAGTTATTAATTTTGGGTATTTCGTTATGATTTATGATATTTTTGTTCGTTTTTTTCTATTTTTTTTTTGTCTAATCATATTTTTGATCTGAGGAAACAAATTTAACATAGCTGAAGCCAAATATCAGGATTAATCACTTACTTTACTGTTATTGTAAGCATTGAGTGCGGCCAGTGAAGACAGTGGTTCTCCAGGACTCACAGGTAACGTGCAGCAGTTCACAGGCAATCCTGGCACAGGTATTCCATGTTTTATTCCGTTCAGTTTTTGCTGATGATATTCTTGAAGTTTTCTCGATCTTCTACGAGAAGCAGCTGAAAATATTTAATAAATAATTAAATGCCTTTATTGTCAAAAAATTTTACAATTTGTAGACAAAAGTAAAGCAAACAGTAAAGGTAAACAAACAAACAAACAAAAGAGAATACAAAACAGAAACATTATAAAAATTACATTGTCAGTCTTATTGTTTAAAATAAACATTTATAAATGTTTACAATGTCAAAGAATAAAAAAATAAAAATAAAATTCAGAAATAGTAAGTTTATAGTAAATATCAATGACCTCTAAACAAATTTATTTCGATGTCATTGGTAAATACAGTGATAGCAAACATTAGATCAGTGCTTACAAGATCAAATTCGGTTATCAAAATATAAGTCATTTACGGCGTAGAAAGCCTGGTCTAGTAAATAAGATTTCAATGATTTGCGAAATGAAGAAAATGATGTTATGGATTTGATTTCAAATGGCAGGTGATTGTGCATTTTTTTGAACTTTTAACTAACTCTGAGCGTGGGGTAGGTAGATAAAGATCTTGCTCCGCGTTTCTGAGCGGATAAGTGTGAGATGGCCTTTCTTGAGAAGCTGATACATGTTTACGTATTAGGCAAATGGATTCAGATATAAATAAGAAAGGAAGAGTTAATATTTTTAATTTTTTAAAAAAGTCCTGGCAATGAGTTCTGCTGTTTAGTCCCAGTGAATATCGAACAGCTCTCTTCTGGAGCTTGAAAATGCGGTCAAATTGAGTCGCACAACACGTACCCCAGAATGGAAGGGCATATCTGAGGTGCGACTCAAAAAGTGCACAATAAACAGTTCTAGCCACTGACAAGTTAAGCTCCTTAGAAACAGATCTTAATGCAAAACAGGTAGAGCTTAATTTTTTCGACAAAGCGTCGATATGCATGTCCCATTTCAGAGAATTGTCTACAACAAGCCCTAAGAATTTTACAGATTTTACGTCAATGGTGGTGTTGTTAAGTACAAAAGGTTGCAGCGAGTTTTTATACGACAAAGCTTTAGTTTTAGAAGTGTTTAGGCTCAGGAGGTTCGAATCGCACCAAGATTTAATGGTGATTAAGCCATTTGATATAATCCTATGAGTGCCGTGATTATTAAATTAATAATATCCATATACATGATTAGACAAGATTAATCAATCTTGACGAAATTGATATCAGTCTTGATGAAATACTGAAATATTTGAGTATGGTGTATATTTTTCTGGGATAAAAGACATTTAGTTAGTTATTATTATATTATTCGTCTTTTTTACATATAGAGGACAATTTTAAGTTAAACACTTTATTTAAACACTATTATTTAGTTATATCTACCTATGAAAATGATGACTGCAACCACTATAGTGCCGCAAATGGCAGCACTGGCGGCTATAGTGATCTTGTCCATGTTTGATGAGGCTGAAGACACTGTCCTAACTTCCTTACATTGTCTGTAAGGTACATTGTCAGGCGAGACATTGAGTTCTTCCAATGACACGACACAAACGATAATACATTCCTAAAATAAGATTAAGAAAAAAGTTATTACATAATTTACATTGTCTATAAGTTATAACAGCTGTTGTTTTATTTGAACATGGTAGAGATTAACTTCTGAACTTAAAACCATCTCTGCTAGAGTGTAACGGATAACAAACAATAATAACATGACTTTCCCCCGAATAACTGTGACATTACAAAAAAAATAACCACCATTTCATTATAATGAACATAATATCGAAAAATGAATGGCTTTTATTTTTATTATGGGATTCTCGTTTTAATTAATACCTATATTTATTAATTTGGGAAATTCTTTCACGAAATTCGCTCAATAAAAATTCCTGATAGCATACATGGCGGCTCTAACGGTTCTTCGACCAGTTATCTTGAAATATATGACGCAATCAAAAGTAATATATGATACCGATGGAAAAAAAGTGAAACTTTGATCAAAATTTTTACAAGAAAACTTATATACAGAGTGTTTCAAAAAACCTGTGCCATCTCTCGTGGGGAGAATCCTCGCGTAAAAATAAGATTTATTTTTCATATCAACATAGATCCGATTCTGATTTGTTTCGAAGCTACAGGGTGATAAAGTCTTAATAATCTTTCGATTTATTATAATTTTCTCCAAGCTCTTTTAGTGAATCGAATGAAATTTTGAGGGTAAAAGTTACTATAAGTGCTACATATTTTAATGCTAAAAAAGTGTCGATAGATTCACCAGAGACTTGCATATGGGTTATCACTAGAATATTTTTCTAAAGAAGCATGTACGCCACTGACTGTTTTTCTCTTGTTAGCGAAATAGTGTAAGCAGTTTAATGCCGATTAAACGTTGTCTTTTGATATTTTATCGATTTCGGCCTCCTTGTATAAAATAAACGCAATTTTATTAATTTGCCTAGATCCAAGTCTAATAGAAACCTTTAAAAAAATGTAATATAATTAACTTGCGAAAGTTTTAGATAAGTACTCATTGATTCCTCATCAAAAAAGTATAAAAAGAGTTCTTATAAACATGGGTATGGAAATGCATAGTTTCAGTTACAGGATGTTATAAGTTTTTTGTAATTACCTTAAATACCATTATTTTTTTATTTGAAATTACTGTAGGTTGAACTATTAGTAATAATAACTAATAATAATAATATTAAATAATAAATTAGGTAAAATATATAATTTGTTAATTTTATTTTTATTTTAATTTTATTAATTATTGTGATTAATAAAATTGCGTTTATCTCATCAAGGAGGCCGAATTCGACAAAATATCAAGAGATAACTTTTAATTGGCACTAAACGGCCTATAGAATTTTGAAATAAAAAAAGGTCAGTGGCGCACATGTTTTTTTTTAAATATTCTAGTGATAACCCATATGCACGTCCCTGATTAATTTAACTCCATTTTTTTAGTATTAAAATATATCGCTTTTATAGTAACTTTTACCCTCAAAATTTCATTCGAATCACTAAAAGTACTTGGAAGAAAATTATAATAAATCGAAAGATTATTAAGACTTTAACACCCTGTAGCTACGAAACAAAGCAGAAATCGTTTTATGTTGATATGAAAAATAAATCTTATTTTTACGCAAGGAATCTCCCCACGAGAGATGGCACGGGTTTTTTGAAACACCCTGTATATTCTGTCTAAAATTGAAGTGATAAAAAGTAGCCGTTCCAACATTGCAACGTTCATTCATCAAATATTTTAGCAACTGTTAAAATTACCTTATATCTATCAAAAATAGTAGATAAAATAGTACTTTAACAGCAAGGGTAGATTAAATGATACTTTAACAGCGAGGATAGATTAAAAGCTTTATTTCTTCTCGCACATTTTTTAATTGCTTCCATTTTTGAAAATTTTTGTATTTCTTTTCATAAGTTATTTGGGATTTAAATGGAATTGGTTTGAATATGGCGTTTGTCGCCTCAGCCTGAATATCTGTTGGTAATTTACTTATTTCGTTTATGCCATTTCTGGCTCCAATTCAATCAGCAATCGACACGAAAGAAAATTAAAAAATATTGACTCAAAACTGACAATTAAGGAGACAGCTTTATTTATTTGTCAAATTACATAGAAACCAACGCCAACCCAGCACAATATTTTTTCTACTTGTAATAAATTCCTTGAAATAATAATTTCTGAATATTTTTTAAAACGTAACTCGCTATGGAAAAAATAATGTTTTATACACGACGATAAAATTGCATTATCGTCTCCCGAAATTAATTCACTGGCGATTTCATCACTCGTGAATTAATCTTTTCGGTCGACGTTAAAATACCATTTTATCGTGTTGTATAAAAAATAACTATTTCTATAAAAACGAATTGTTTTTTATGGCTTATTCTAAAGTCCCTATTAAATAAAGTGAAATTTTGATGAAAATATCTTTTTATTTTTAAATTAATATGCCTATTGATTAATATGCTTGTCACTGTTGCTCTTGATTTCAGTAAAAATATTTTTTATTATATTTTTTCTCAAACGAAATTAGGTAATTTGTGGGGAGTCACGTTTCAAATAAACTTCTTGACGAAATATGATACCACGGACATCAGTTATTTAATGGAATCCTCCGAAAGAACCCGTAACTTTTATTAATTATTTTTCAGAATCTGGTCCCAGGACATCAGTTGATTATTTACTATGTAGTCCGCCCCTGGCGCGTGTGCTCACACATGTTTAAAGTATTTTCTCCTGTCGCTCCTTTCCTCCGCGATCCGTCTTCATTCGTTTCTGTGTGCATGTGCAGTGCGGAAGTGTCGCTTTTTACGCTTGTTTACGAACGCCGAAATTAAAACAGTAAGTAATTATTTCTATAATCTTACAATACAAGCTTGTTACCTTGTCGTTGATCGAGATTATCATCCTCCATCAACGCTTTTTCTTTTCTCTTTAGCTAGATATTATGGGGGAAAACAAAGGGAAAAGCCGGTCTTCTTCTCGAGAACGCCATGTTTCACGAAAGGAGCGTTTGAGAAGGCTAGAGAGACTTGAGAAAGAGAGGGCAACATCACGAGCGAGGTCGCGATCGCCACGGCGTCAGCGGCGTTCCCCCTCTCAGTCATCCGGTCGCGCGCGCTAGTTCAGCGGGCGCGTGGGCCGTACTGGCCCAATAGCCAACACCCTCGGTGGATTCAAGGTCAAGCAGTCGTCATCATCGACGGTCTGGTTCTGGTTATGACGATCGCAGTCCGCGCGGCTCGGCGTCTTATTATGGTACACCAGATAGGCGGCGATTGCCTAGCGTAGACCATAGTCTGTACGGCGTGGCTACCAATGCAATGGATGTGGATCGCGGTCCGGGCGGCGCGACAAACATTCTGAATGATAAGAATAATTTAAACGATCAAACGGCTGGCACCCCTCCGTTAATTATTCATAACGTCTCCTTGCCGACTGAAGTTAGACCTACTCGGTGAGGATCCGGATAAAACTAAGGCTAATGGGTACACTTTGCACCAGGCCCTTACAGCTAGGTGGTCAAAAATCTTAACATCCGGCCTATCTAAGGAGAAAAAGGAACAATTGATGAATACTAGCTGCGTCCCAGAAAACTGTAAGGCCTTGATATTCTCCCCTTGGTCGACAAGGAAATTTTACCTTGTCTTTCGGCGGCTTATATAAAAAGGGATTCATGTCATGCTGATTTTCAAGACCAGCTGGGCAGGGGCCTGTCATCATTGGGCAAAGGTCTTAACGCGGTTTTGGAAGAGGGTCAGAATATTTCGCCAACTATGCGTGAAAAGATTTTGCCATTCCTTACGGAAGCTGGACAAATTTTTTCAAATTTATTTTTTTTGACATTTCTCAGACTAGACGTACTTTAATTTTACCCATGTTAAGCAAATAGACAGTAGTAGCTGACTAGGGTTCCAGGGGTGTACTTGTTTGGGAACGAATTAGCTGAAAATGTCAAGGGAGCTAAAACATTGGAAAGAACAGCCAATGACCTTCGTCCCCAAACGCAGAGTTCTACCTTTTCCGCTTCTAAAAATGGGGGAGGGGTGGCTACCGGCCGATCACAGACATCCAGACCATACACCAGCCGAGGTGGCTCATCCGGTCCTTTAAACCGGGGGCGTCCGGTCCGTCCAAGCGGGAAACGAGACCACACAAAGGGCATGCCCCGACACGGAGGAGTCAATACCCTCATCAGAAGCGCTGATTTCAGAGGCTAAAGTTATTTTATAAACAATGGCAAAATATCACCCAAAACCCATTTTTCTTGTCTTGCATAAGTGGTTATGTCATTCCATTTAAATGTACTCCCTCACAGTTTTTGTCTCCGAAATCAAGGCATCTTTCTTCAGAGGAACGAAGCCAAATGGCTATGGCAATTAAAGAATTGCTTAGTAAGGGTGCAGTCGTTAAATACCAGCCCCAGCCAATCCAATTTTTATCTGGTATTTTTCTTACCAATAAATCTAATGGTGAAAAACGGTTTATATTAAACCTAAAACAACTAAATCAATTTATAACACCTCCTAACTTTAAGATGGAAGACTATCGCACAGCCAAAAAAAAAAAAAAAATGATTTCTAGTAATAGCTTTATGACTACAATAGATATAAAAGACGCTTATTTCTTAATTTCTATAGATAAACGACATTGAAAATATTTAAGATTTAGTTTTGAGGGAGAGTTGTTTGAATTTGGTTGTTTGCCATTTGGTTTGTCAGTAGCACCGTTCTATTTCACAAAGCTTTTAAAACCGGTAATTAAGATTCTTAGAGAACATGTGGAATTTTTTGTGTCAATTATCTTGACGATTTTTTAATTATAGCCGATACTTTTGATGATTGTCAAAAGAACACTGTATTTACAGTTCAGCTTCTACAGAGTTTGGGTTTCTTAATTAACTATAAAAAATGCAGGCTAACACCAAGTACGAGCCAGAAGTTTTTAGGTCTTATTTTTAACAGCCAGACTTTAAGGTCGGAACTTCCAATGGAAAAAAGATTAAAAATAAAATCGTTAATTCAGGTTTTTACATGCAAAAAACAATGTAAAATCAGGGAATTTGCTAAGTTCATTGGAGTTTTAACCTCGGCATGCCCTGCAGTTAAATATGGTTGGCTGTATGTCAAACAGTTTGAGAGGGAAACATTTCTGGCTCTGCTACAAAATCATGGTAATTATAATGTCACCATGTCGGTCCCACACGCTACTTTATCTTACGACCTGTATTGGTGGGATAATAACATTTTGACAATCTACAACGATATTAGGCATGACACTTTTCCTATTGAAATATATACCGATGCAAGCACAACTGGATGGGGCGCCTGCTATGGAACAGATCGGACTCACGGATTCTGGTCAGAGCGGGATAAAAAACATCACATTAATTATTTAGAGCTTCAGGCCATATTTTGACTAAAATGCTTTGCGCAGGATCTATCGAACTGTAACATTTTAGTACGGGCAGACAATACAACCGCCGTATCATACATTAATCGCATGGGCAGCGTTCAGTATCCGAACTTAAGCAAATTAGCCAGAAAAATATGGTCGTGGTGTGAAGAATGGAACATTTGGCTTCTTGCATCGTATATATCTTCAGAGGAAAATTGTGAAGCAGTATCTGAATCACGGAGAACTGCTATGGAAACAGAGTGGGAGCTATCAGGAGAGGTATTTGAGTGTATCGTAAATACTCTGGGAAAACCAGAGGTAGATCTTTTCGCCTCTGGAATTAATAATAAATGTGCAAACTATGTGTCTTGGAAGAAAGATCCAGGATACATAGCAGTTGACGCCTTTACCGTGAACTGGAACCGGTGGTCTTTTTATGCATTTCCACCTTTTTCGTTAATCCTACGCACGCTTCAGAAGATTATCCAAGACAAGGCAGAGAGTATCGTGGTAGTACCATACTGGACAGTACAGCCTTGGTACCCGTTGTTTAAAAAACTATTAATAGGTGATATAATCACTTTCAACCCCAGTGATAATCTTTTGTCGTGTCCTTTTAGGAAAGAGCATCTACTCCGGAGGCAGCTTACCCTGGTTGCCGGCAGATTGTCAGCACGGCACTTGTAAAAAAGGGGGTTCCCTAATCAGCAGTGGAAACGGCATTATTCTCAATTTCGGAGGCCACAATGAGGCAGTATAACACATCCTATAAATTATGGTGGGATTTTTGCCACAAAAGAAATGTTTCTGTTTTCGAGGCTGTTCCTAGCGAAGTTACAAGAACTTCTTGATAATCACCCTTTTAAATATGGTACATTTAATTCCCACCGGTCAGCCCTCTCTCTGATTCTCACAAACAATATAGCATCGGACACTAATTTGAAGCGATTTCTTAAAGGGGCCTCTCGATTAAGGCCGGCTAGACCCAAGTATGATTCCACTTGGGATCCCAAACCTTTGCTGAATTATCTAAGCGGTATATCCACACAAAACCTAAAACTCTTATCGATAAAGCTGGTTAGTCTTTTGGCCCTTGTGACTGGTGGACGTCTCCAAACAATTTCGCTAATTAGACTTTCAAACATTATTATCGACGAGGAAAAAATCCAAATTTTTATCTCGGACCAGATTAAGACGTCTGGTACTCTTAAAACACAGCCTTGCCTACACATTCCATTTTTTAAGGAAAATTCGTTTCTTTGTGCGGCTTCGGCATTGTTAAGTTATGTAGAAATAACTAAGCCTCTTCGGGAAAATCAAGATTTTCTCTTCATTACTTCTACAAAACCTCACCAAAAAGCATCCAAGCAAACCCTAAGTCGGTGGGTTAAAGAGGCGCTAAAAGCTTCAGGAATTGACACAAGTCAATTTCAACCACATTCTACTCGTCATGCATCGAATTCAGCGGCTTTTAGAGCAGGGGTTTCTCTAGAGCTAATTTGTCGTACTGCTGGGTGGTCTGAAAAAACCGCAACATTTGCTAGGCACTATAACCGACCATTAACCAAGAAGACTGATTTTGCCAAAGCAATCTTAAGATTAACAGACTAGATTAAGATTCGTTTCGTTTTTTGTTATGTACTTCTGTACTTATTAGGATTTAGAAGTTTTATGTTCAGTTACCAAATGTTAACTTCTGCTTATTATTGTTAAAAATCTAGGGCCACTCGATACCTAACCGTTTAGTATATTTGCACTTTTATATTGAAGTAGGTCCTAGTTAAGAAAATATATTTCTTTACGTTCTTTTAGCCTGCGGTGTTTTATTTTAATAATTAGAACAAAATCCTAATTAAAAATAGAGAAAATCGCAACAACTTTAAACAACTACATAGTAAATAATCAACTGATGTCCTGGGACCAGATTCTGAAAAATAATTAAACGATCAAACGAACTTACCTGAAGTTCGATCGTAATTATTTGATGAATCTGGTCCCAGGACATCAGTTCCCACCCATTACCCAACGCCATTTTTTGGCTGACCCCTTTTAGTTGCGATTTTTCACGCATCATTTAAACAATATGAAGACGGATCGCGGAGGAAAGGAGCGACAGGAGAAAATACTTTAAACATGTGTGAGCACACGCGCCAGGGGCGGACTACATAGTAAATAATCAACTGATGTCCTGGGACCAGATTCATCAAATAATTACGATCGAACTTCAGGTAAGTTCGTTTGATCGTTTAATTATCAGGCTAGCAGGTTTATTTTCTCATGCTATTAATTACAAAATCGTAATTAACTCTTCAGTTTTTTAATAAGAATTATTTGTTTTGTGTATTGTTTGCTCTAATAGCAATCGCAATGATTTGCGGTTATTTTTTTATAATTGTTCTTCGTAACAAAATTGTGGAGACCTGTTAAAAAGAATAATAAGAAATCATATTGCTATCCGTTGAAAATTGAATAAAAAAAAATATTGTTTTACAAAGTTTCAAAAGAAGATTCAAATAACTAATTGCTAATTTTTTTTTCTTTACATTTTTTTACACAGTTCTTTACAGATGTAGAAACAATTCTTTTATTAGTATATGTACAATTTAAAATTATTTTCAAATGTACAGGGTATGCCAGAACTAGGATCCATACCAAAGTTATATTTTTTCTTATGGAACACCCTGTATTTTATTTAATTTTTGGAGCCTTGGACATAAAATAAGGCATTTATTATAAGAGTTAAATAAATAAATATGTTTACAAGCTTTGAATTTTGAGATATTTAAAGATATTTAAATATGCATGCTATAATAGAAAATATTATCAACACTCTGTACCTTACTTTCCTGAATTAATTCTTCAGTGAGTTTAAGGGAGAGAAATAGGTCGGTCATAAAGTTGTGTCACATCAAACTTTATTTTTTTTAAAATGAAACCCCTTGTATATTATTGCATATTTCAATTCTTCCTTCATTTTTAAGCAATAATCGTAATACACAATGTACATAAATTGAAGAATTGAAATGTTAAACGAAAATGTTGTAATTTCCAGACTTTACTCTCATTTTATACATCTATAAATGCTAACTTGAGAACTAATGTCAAATATTATTAAGTATCACGGTTTCGGCAGAATGGCATCGTTAAATGAAACTGAACATAGTATCGAAATTAATTAAATCAAATTGTTTAAGTGATATTTTCAAAAGTCAATAACTCGGAAACGGTTGGTTTGAGGTACATTGGGTGTATTTCGATTTTTGCTTAGAATTGAAGGAAGAACCGAAGTATGTAATAATATACAGGGGGTTCCATTTAAAAAACATGAAACTTTGATGTGCCACGACTTTATGACCTACCCTGTATACTTAAATTTATTACCCGCTAATAGATATTTATAAACCCTATAACTTTTATATTTAACTTTTTGCGGTACCTCCTATATTTTACCTAATAATCGACCGTTTCCATGCATAACAACCACCCTGTATGTAATAGTTCTATTGAATAAAAGCTTGATCATAAATTACTCTAGCCCAAGAACGGTAAACTAATAGGATTGCTCATCCTCATAAGACGTACGTTCGCCTCTTCCCGCGCTTCAGCTGACAGTTGTGACGTCATTGTAGCCCTTGTCAAAGCCTTCGTGGCCTTGTCATGATAGTGTGTATTATTAGTTACCTATGGTAAACTTATAAAAATAACAGCTGAGAAATTTTGAGTTAATTATTTTGTCAATTTTAAATGTGAAAAAGGTGTCTTTAAAGTTTTTAGAGCTATAGAGTGAATAAATACGTTCATTTTGTGTTGTGGATTGTGACAAAGTGCATACTAAGTGCCCACGATTTTGTTTATTAATTATTTTAAAGCAAAATATGGAAGTACTCTAAAAAGAATGCTTGCAAAGGGTGACGCTGGGAACTGCTGTTCTTAAAAATGCATTATCCGAGTATTTAATACGATTTATACAGTTAATTTTCTATACTGCATACATATAAGGTGTTTAAATAAATAAACTAAATAATGAACGTTTTGTATTCGGTAACCAGTAATGCACGTGTGTGTATTATTGGTTGCCGGATAAGAACTAATAACCATGACAAGGGCTACAATGATGTCACAAAGCAAGTAGTTTTTGCATGCACCTGGCGGACACTTTTGGCTGAATGAGCAGATCTATTAGGTTAACTGTTCTTGACTCTAGCCAACAAAATCACGGTCTATAAAACTGATATCAAGTATTATGTAGGGAAGATTTTTTATATTTACTTAACCTAAATTAAAATAATGCAAAATCACACTTACTTGTGACGGAACGTTTTTGATTTTAAACTCCCTCTCGCTGGCCTCTAACGGTGGTCCTTGCTTGAAACTCTTATCCCCAAACAACCTGTACACCACCCTGAATCCCAATATGTTAGCCGTTTCCGATCCCCACTGTATTATCACCGAATTGTCCTGCCTGAAAGCATTCTTAACAATCACCTCCTTGGTATCATCAGCCTTACTTACTAGCCGGAAAAACCCGACATCACCAACGAAGGTCTTTGAGTGGTTTCCATGCAGTGGTTGGCTTGGTTTTACTTTTGGTCGTCGTGGTTTGAGATGTCGTAGATGAGGTTGTGGTTGAAGTAGATGAAGTACTCGTAGTTGATATCGTTGATTTACTTGTATTCGGTTTTTTGGTAGTTGTCGTAGTAGTACTAGTAGTTGTTGTACTAGTTGTTATTGGTTGGTCCTGCTGAGCAACAATTAAATCATCTAAATTCGCACTAACCACTGTAGCTACACCAATCGAATCTAGTTTACTTTTAGTACCATTCTGCTTTTTTTGGTCTTTACTACAAGCCAATTCCTCTGGCTGGATACTATAGAAACTTCTATCCCTGAACTTAGGAGGACTTCCGCAAAATTGGGGGTTTCTTTCACGAGAAGTCACCTGTAAGTCTCCGTTACGTATCCAGTCAACAACCCACGATAACCTGCAATCACAATGCAGGAATCTCCCACCTAAACTTAACCCTCTCAGAGTCTTGTTCAGGTGAGACAAAGCTTCAAACGGTATTGTGGTTAAAGGGTTTCCATCAAGAGCCAGTAGAGTTATACTGGGATTATTTTTGAAGGCGTTCTCTGGTAGATCTGTGAGTAAATTAAACCCAATATCCAGAACTCGTAGTTCTTGAAGCGTTGCCATAGCCTCTGTTGGAAAGTCAGGTAACAAGTTATTGAGTAAACTCAAGGAGCTTAGAGTATTTTTTACTCCTAAGAAAGCGTTTTGTTTGAGTTCTTGCAAGATATTTCTTTCGAGATTTAGAGCAGTTAAAGCTTCCAATCCTGCAAATATTTCGTCACCATCAGTTCCAGGAAGTTCTTTCAGACTATTTTGTGATAAATCTAAGAAAGCTAGAGTTCTCATTCCTCGAATAGCTTCAGGTACTTTTGTTTGTCTTGTTCCTTTTAGGTTTAGGTTCTTTAAGCATTTTTCCAAGCCGTTTAATGCGTCTGCTTCTAAGGTTACGTTATTGTCTGATAATTTTAATGTTGAGAGTTTGTAAAGAGTTTCAAAAAGCATTTGATGGTACATTACTTATTCGGTTGTGAGATAAGTCTAATAACTGAAGGTTTTGTAAGGGTCTCAAGCTTTCTACTGGTACAGCAGTCAACTCATTATCTTGTAAGTTTAGGTTTTTCAAGTGCTGTTCCTGACCGGTAAAGGCGGTACTTTCAACAGTCCTTATTTTACATCCAGACAACTGGATGTTATGCACCTTAAGGTTAACGAAAATATTGTCTTGTAACACTCCGATAGTTGAGTTGTTTACGTAAAGTAAGTCCACTGCAGTTTGAGTGGCGAATTTACTCAAAGCCGACAAGAGTTTGGGCCAGTTGACCATGTCGCACTGCACTGAGAGTTCGTGTCCTAAATTGTACGAGCAGAGACAGGAGGATTGGAGGTCTGGAATGTCTAGGTGCCAGGGACATTGTGCTGACGTTAGGGAGACCAGGACAGTCCATATCAGGAGGTGTGAGAAACGCGGTTTCTTCATTGCCTGAAAATTATAAAAATGTATTATTAGCATGGCTTTTAAAATTAGTAAACAATGATTCTAAACAACTCAGTTCTAGATTTATATCTCTATAAGGTTAAAAAATCTAAAATATGAATTAAAAAATTGACTAATAAATTAGACGACATATTAATTAGTGAAAAATTAACATTTCATGCCTGAAAATTAATTAAATGTGATCTAGTTAATTGAATAATGCATTAGTAGTTTATTCATCACACTAGACTTTTTCTCAACGCTCTTTTAAGGAAATGCGGAAAGGAAGTTCGTTTACCTCTAATCGTTTCGATGGATACTTGAAAAATATAACATGAACATAATTACTGTAACAATTACAGTAATTACAAATAGCTCGTATATAGCATCAATCCGATTTAGTACGTTAGTATATATGGTGGTTCTGGTTATGGTATGGCGAGTTTAGCCATGAAAAGCAATAAAAGAGTTGCATTGTTTGAATTCGGAAAATTAATGGAGTCAAAATTTTTAATTGGTTGGTTAAATTTGGAATTTGTTCTCCGATCTTATTACAGTTGACTTTACAGTTACTGTTCATAAAGGAAACTGTCACAATTTATGGCAGACCTGATAAGTAATGACAGAAAATGTATCAAAAGTGTATTGGGTTGTGACACAGGGCATTAAGATTAAATTTTTGAGGTGGCTATCGACCTATTGCATTGCGACCTTTTCAGATTCATTGTGATCTTCTGATCTCAGGGTTACATTCTCCAGTCCTATCTTTAACACAGAAGTATGCCAGTTATGCCTATTAACTGACCTAATTAATGACCTTTATTAAACTGACCTATTTTGCAAAAGGGGTTGCTCATCCGTGGTATAATAATTAACTAAAAGATTGACATCTACAATCATGACTTGACCACAAAATCGAACGGCACACGAACGCAATTAACAGGTTGCAATAGAGACACCGTAGACAACTGTTAAGAATCAAATGGTACCACCATGTCTCAAACGTGATAGAAGAAAACCGCCTACCGAAAGCTCTTCTTTATGGTGAGGTTGTATAGACGGTAAGAGGAAACCGGGTGGACAACTCAAAAGGTACAAGGATATTTTCCATGAAAACTTAACGGGGATAAGCATGCAAAATCAGTGGGAGGAATAGAGCGCACAATAGAACGCAATGGAGAAGGATTGTAAACTCAGTTAACAACGACAACCAAAAAGTAAAGAAGCAAGAAAGTAATGAGTATGGAAAAGTGATAACATTATGTATCGGGCTTTTCAGTTACGGAAAAGCTCTTGAAAGAAAACGCCTTGCGTAACCATCTTCTGATGCGTGTCAAATACTCGTCAGCGAGTAATGGCAGTAGTAGCAGTATCTAATTAAAATAGTTTTGGTTTGAAAATGTCTAATTTCAAATAAACCAGATTCATTTTGAGAACTAATAACAAACTATATTACTGACAGACAAGAAAAAAAAACATTTTGCGCAAAAATCAACAATGAAAGAAAAAACTGGCGCTAATTCCCTCGGTCAGTCTTGTCTGCATTAGCAAACATCTCCAGCCGGAGAAAATTCTCACCGCAACAATAAACTAACTGTACCATTTTCTTAATAATGGACGCTGTTAAATGCAAAATTATACACATTTTACTCCTGACGTAATCGGGTTTACGACATCAACGGGGCGTTTCGTTCTAACTACAACAAACAATCTTCTAGATCGAAATAAACTAGCAAGAGAGATAGTGCAGAAACGGGGAATTGAGTTGTTGCAAGCGCAACTTGCTACAGCTTTCAAATTTGGCTTGGCAATTTCTACATAATTAAGATGTTAATTTAATTTTTTTTGCAACAAATTACATTTGACAACGATAAAATCATAGGTTGGCAACTTAAGGTATATTGACATTCGATTGGTTTTGCAGTGTTACCTGTTCAGTTTTAATTTAAAAATAGATGCAGTTTTTCTTAAATTACTTAAAATCTTACACTATTTTTATGTATCCTGTAGCTCTATAACTAGGTTAGTATGGTAAACAATAGTCTCTTTGAAGGGATTGGTAATCTTAAAAAACGTTCCCAAGCCTTATGCAAAACACCTGTCCCGTAAGTCAGATTGTAAGATTATGGTTGCAACAAGAATTTGCCGCAATTTCTATTCTTTTTTAATGTATGTTTTTCTATTCTTTTATAATGTAATTTAAACATAATGTACTGATAATTGAAATTTTAAAATTGTCCCTTGAAAACTAATATAAAATAATATAGTAAATAAATTGTAACGTTTTTAGTTCGTTACATGTCTTTTTTATATATAATATATGATGTCTGGCCTATCATCACCGGATTCACTCTCGTTTAGGCCGGATAGTTATTTGGCACGCTTGGCGTAATTTTTACGTTCCCTAGTCGCCAACCCTGCTATCGTTTCACTGTTCTGTGGAGGCGCGCGCTGTCAAAATCCTTGTCATATGTCAAGGCACCTCTCTGCGTTTTAACCTCACTTTGTTTTTGGCCACGGTCGCAAATCCTGCTTTTAGAAATGGCAATTTAAATCTTGCTGCAAAATCTGAATCAGCTGCCATTTCGAAGCTACAGGTAAAGATGAGTTATTATCTTTTATAGATTTGATATTATTATTGAATATTTTTAGTAGAGTTTTGGATTGACCCACCTTAACTCGTATTTGTATTTTGCTGACACGTTGGTGTACTTTTGCTGTTGTCCTCCAGAATGTTAAATGGAAGAAAGGACAGTTCTTTTGTTTATTATTGAGCCCTCGGAAGTGTTTCGAGGTAGGTTCATTTTGTTTATTAGACCTTGTTTGATTTTAAACAAGAGTTTCGTATTTTTAGGGTCCAAGGTACGGACTATTTACAAGGTACGAGCATTATCCAAGGTCCTAGTAGTATCCAAGGTACAGGTAGTGTTCCCCTGTACCGTTGTCTTATGGGCGGGCTGTGTCCAAGGTTATGGTTCAAGTTACGGACAATATCCAAGGTCCTAGTAGTGTTCCAAGGTACGGGTAGTGTCCCCATATTGCTACAGTATGGATACAGCGTAAGCCCCATGCTGCTTCGTTCCCATTTCTCAGTCTAGTCAGTAGTTACGGCTGTATCAATTCATGGTGTCCTCACTCTGGCCCCCTTTTGTTGTATTAGATGGCCGAGTACAGAGATGCGAGACCACCTCACGCTGCTGCTCTTTGAAGCAAGATTACGTAAAGAACAGCTAAGTGTAGATTTAGGTTCTGGTTTTTAGTTGATTTTCAGTCTTAAACAGTAACGTACATTTTAAATAATATCGGACAGACTATATTTAGTGGTTAGATTATTAAGTGATTTAGATTTTAGGTTTCACTATATTACGCCTTGTAATAGTATTACTTTTTTATAGATATTATTATTGCACTTACATCATATAAAATATATCAAATTAATTAAAGTAATGTTACATTTCATATATTCTCTTAAACTTTACATGTCTTGTATTTTATCATAGTTGTTTTCATAGATATTTAGTACAATTCTTAACACCACTTTCGTTGACATATAACCATATAATAATTATTAAAATTGTACAATGCTATTTACCATCACAGTCCATCATGAATAAATATAGTAATTAGTTTTAAGTAATATACAACTGTGTTTTCTTTCTCTGTACATGCCTGGCGCCCAATATCTGTATTTTTTTGTTTATTGTTATTGATTAGTTTTCTCTCTAGTGAAATACCTTATCCACGACTGCTCTCCGATGAAAAACTGCCGTTCGCAGTGGTAGTTGTTATAAAAAAAAACGCTACACATTATTTGGCGCTCAACGTGGGGCCCGAACCCACGACCCTGAGATTAAGAGTCTCATGCACGAACCTGAGATTAAGAGTCTCATCATCATCATTTTCAGCTTATTCAACCATTTCCAATTATGGTTGATCATGATCCCATCTCAGGTGCAGTCTTCTTCTAAGTTTCTTAATTTCTTGTGGGTACCATGCCGTAATTTTGGGGTCCATCTGAGGGATTTGACTCTGTGGATGACATCTATTACCTGGGATTTTTGTTGTATCCACTGTATTCATTTACTCCTAGCATATTTCGTTCCATTGAGCGTTGTGCTACCTGATGTTTTTTTTATGATGTCCGTTTGAAGTGTCCAGGTTTCGCATGCATAGGTCATGACTGGTAGTATACATTGGCCGAATATTTTCTTCTTTAGATAGAGTGATATTCTACATTTGAATATGATTAAGTTTTTTCCATATGTACTCCATGCTAACTTAATTATTCTGCTGATTTCTGGTAATAGAGATCCCGAGCTGTGTATTAGTTGTCCAAATTATATATTCTTCTACTATTTCCCTTGTTGTGTTACATATTAAAATGTCTTTTCTTTCCACTAGTTCGTTGTACATTACTTTAGTTTTTGCTAAATTCATTTTGAGACCCATTTTATTGCTGGCTGTGTTTAGTTCATTAGTTTGTGAATATAAACTAACTAAAATTATTATAACTATTAAAAATTTAATTTTTCAATTCGCACGCTTCAAAAAAGTTGAAAATTTCGAACGCATTCTTTGGAAGATATAGGAAAAAGCACACGATCGAACGTATAAAAATCGGAGAACAAGGTCAGACATTGACACACATCCATCGAGGAAGTCAATTATGCAATTTAGAATGCAGTCGATATATCGGTATAACGCGGCTTGAAAATAATAGGAAGCTATAGACATATAAACCGGTTTAACTTGTCAAAGTTTTTTTTATTAATCATTAGTAAATATTAGTTTGTGTAATAATTTTATAGTGTGGTTTTTTTCTGATTTAGAAATATAAAAGTAGCTTAGAATTACGTTGTAACTGGAGTTGTTTTGACATTTATTTTGTGATAAAATTGAAAGAGAAGGCTAAAATTATGAAGATTTTTTATGTAGAATGTCACTGAGTTACAATCCAATAGAAAGCAGCTCCTTAGTGGCTGTCTAAGTACTTTTAAATAAATTTATCTAACCATAAAAAATATCAACATTTTAGAGCTCCCCCAACTGTTAAAGAAGCGAAATTGTAGTTATATGGGATTACCAGTAGATGATGATACTACAGTGTACACCTTGTCATTCGGAGATGACTGGGCTGTTGTAGCACAAGATATAGATGACTTGGAATACATGACCCGAAACCTTATCGAGGAGTATGAGAAATGGGGATTGGAACTGAATATTAAAAAAACTGAATACATGTGCATTAGTGGACATCAACAAGACCTACGCCTAGCAACAGGACAAGTCATCAGACATTGCAACAGCTACAAATATCTCGGAATAAAAATATTCAAAGACGGAACACTGGATGAAGCAATATTGGAAAGAAATATGCAAGGCAGAAAAGCAGTTTCGAAGCTAAATGGAATACTATGGGATAAGAATATAACTATAGAAAACAAAAAAAAGAATTTACAATTCCATCGTAAAAAATATAATTACCTACAGCTCTGAAGTATGGCCCTAAAAAGAGAAAGCTGAAAGAACGCTAAAAGCCACGGAGATGGACTTTTGGAGAAGATCGGCTGGAAAATCCAGAAAAGATAAAATACCAAATAAAACCATAAGTCGTCAAATGCAACTAAAACACGACATCGTAGATGACATTAGAACTCAGCAATTAATATGGTATGGACATGTGCAAAGAATGGAAGAACATCGAATCCCAAAGAAAATATTAAATTGGAACCCTCAAGGTAGAAGAAAAAGATGACCACGCAAGAACTGGAGAGAGGGTATTGATAAAGAAGTTTTATACAAAGGTTTGGAAGTAGATGGATTGGGAGATAGAAAGAGGTGATGGAGATTAGGAATCGGAAGACGGAAAACGTTGTACCCGATTATATATATGAAACAAACTAATCAAACGGCAACCTGTGTAGCGATTTCGTTAGTCATCCGCTAGAATTGGAAGGAAATATGTAGTATAAGGTAAGATAACAAGCTGTGCATCGGCGACGGAACACGATATGTGGGTCGTCCGTGGCCTTTTTAAAACGCATCCTTACAGTTAATCCGCCGGTATAATCGGCCGTTAAACTTGCTCTTACGCACACACATGCACATTCACATAGTCGCCACTTACCGTTCGATTTAAAATCGGGTCACTATCGTCATTATCGTGCGCTGCTCATCTCCGCTACCATGGTCGTGAAGTCTACGATGACGTAGCCAAATCCATTTAATCGGTTTTCTTTAAGTCCGGCTGTTTTCGGTTGATTTCGGTTGGTATTGGAAATGTTAAAAAGCCGATTGGAAGTCTTGATGGATTGGAAGATTCTGTAACAGAAAATTGAGATTTAGTTTAGACGTCAATTTTTTCATAAACCTGTAATATGTATAATACTGTTAAATAAACAATTCTCAAAAATTATATATTGTTTCCATACTTGGATTGCTAAAGACTTTATTATTGCTAGATATGAATACGGCCTCTTTAATTTTACGCTTTTTCCAATAAGGTTCTTTGTTGTCAATCCGAATATTATATTATGTTGTGGTGTTTAGACCACACATGATCTGCAATTCCCTACTTCATTGTTTCACCTCTTTGCGTATGTTTTTTTTATGTTCGTCAAGTCGTACATGTATAGTAGAGGACGTTTTGTCTCTCCAATATACGACTCACCGTACTCGCAAGGTACCTGATAAATGCACTCTTTCTCTTGTTTTCATGATTCCGGTTTTGTTTTTGTTAGGATACTCCTTAGGGTAGTCCCAGACTTAAAAACAGTTTAATTTTATACTACTTGGCTATTTATAGCCTGATCTTCTCCCATGTTCCTCTCACATATGGAATCGTCAAGAGAGAGAGGGTATCCTCCTCAGGCTGGCCCACCAATGGGGAGTCATGACTTACAATTGTCTGATAAGTCAGACTTACAATTAATATAATATTGTCGAGGGATTTTGCAAAGTAACCATTCTGAAGCAAATCAGTTTTAATATTATTTAGTTCAGACTTTAGAGATTCTTGGTTACTGCATATAGTGATATAGTGTTCGATGACATAATGTTTTAACTATACCTCTTTTGGAAAATCAAAAATCTTCAAAAAGTCTCACGTAATTGCCTCACGTGAAGCCTCATATAATTAATAATGACGCCCCTTAGGTAATAAATTATTGGGAAAAATATTGCATTGCATTTTTTGCAACCATAGATTGCAGCAAATGCAGAAATTCATATTTTCACATAAATTTGTGAAAAATTAATGCCTGTAAAATAATTGAGGGGTTCAAAAGTGAACTGGATCAAGTCCTAGAAGATAATTGGAGAAAATGAGAGTTAAAGTTTTTTTAATGTTACTTAATTAAAATATAACAAGCTGAAGAAGAAAACTCGACACAATGCTTTACTATATTTTAAATTGAAGTTACTTTAGTTTGCAACTGCAAACTAAAGTAACTGAAAATACAACTGTGGTAATTTTTAAGAATGTTTGTTTATACTTTTTTGGACTTGAACCATTTTATCTCTGAAAATACTATTTGAAATTTTAGATATAAATTGCTTCATCGGTACATTCTTTTTTCGTCGTTAAAGGATTTGTTGACTTCACATTGTCTATTGTATTATAGGTGGGATAAAGGGAAGAAGATCTTTCATGTGTTGCCTTTTAGAGTGTGTTACGTTACGTCTATATGAAATGATAAGATTTTTCTTCTTCGTGCGGTCTTATTCAGACGAACAACATGTCAGATATCTAAGTATTTGTAAGAAAAACAGCCTAACTTATTGATGTAGTAATAGTGAAAAGAATGATAAATCAAACTGTACTTGCAGAATCGATAGAATCAGACCTTTCAGATGGCTGATAATTTGATTCACTTGGTCCAAACGGTTCAGGTTTTGTTCCATTGTCATCCATTTTATCAAAAAAAAATAGCTCTAAACTTTAGCACGTGTGTTAAAATCGCACACAACGTTAAATTTTATGGACTTGGTCCATTTCACTTCTGAAAGGAATCAACAGAATATTCAGAAACCAAACAGAAACAGGCTATAGCTGCTTAATACGTGAAATATGACTTGATTCATTTCTCTAGCGGAGAAAACAATATTTTATAAACGTAAAAAGACGATTATCTTAAAATAGTAGGAAAGTGGACTTGATCCATTTTAATTCTGACCACTCCAATTATATTTCGCTCTCCCAAAAATTAGGGTAAACTAACTTATATTACATTATACGCAAAATATAAAGATGGTTTAATGTTAACATACATATGTATAGGTGATTCTATTTAAAATGGGCAAGTTGGTGGCCACTTCCAGTTTAACTGGAAATGCTAGGAAGTGGCAAATATTTTGAAAAGAACGAACATCTGGAAATAATGTTAATATTCAAGTTTGAATCTACATTAGCTCCTGAATTTTTTTTATGAACTAGTAGTGTGAAAAATCCTGTATACAGGTCAATGTAAGTAATCTGTCTCTAATATTTAACAATATTAAAGTGACGGTGAATAGAACAGAGTATTTTACTATCATCCGGTACATAGTAAAAGACGTACCATAGATATTGCTGGAGGTTCTTCATAAATTAAGTGAGAAAGATAGTTAAGACCACGTAATAAGATGCAGATAAGGATATGTTGATATTACAACAGGTATTCGTTGTTCGCTGTTGTTGGACGAGATATTTTATTAGATACGGTCGGTAAATATGGGCACTAGCCCGGTGGTGAGAGGAACGTAATGTATCAAGATAAAGTACCCATGTTGGTACTTTAAGATAACCAGCGTGCTGTTTAAGTGCCATAAAATATTTAAAATTATCTAACAGTGCTACAAAGAGAAGTACACTAATAATTCCTATTTTGTACAGATTATCTTTGTATTTTTATCTGGTTTTTAATAATAAGTTTCTGGGCTTTCTATAAATACAAGGTGTCCCAATATCGCGTAGACATATAATGACTACGTATTTTTGTAATCAAAATAAGTTCGTTGGACATAATTTACCTCTATACAAAAGTGCGTCGTTTGTCCGTTAGAGATATTTTAAAAACCGTTATTCCGATTTGAATGAGATTTTAAGATATACAGGGTGCTACAAATTCGAGGTACGAGCATTGGTATCTCCGAAACCGTAATAGATAGGAAGATGGTTAAATTGGGGCCAAGTTGCGCCTTGGGCTGTTCACCAAGATGCCATCAAAAAAGTTTTAAAATTTTCAAGGATTGCTGAGTTTTTTGGAAAAAAACGGATTTTTTTGAAAACTAATTTTATTTTTTCCTGTCGTTACTTTTTAGAAAATAAAAAAAAACTAATTGCACATTCTCATAGCCACTTTATTAGGGCTATCTAATAGTATTTTTAGATTTTCAAATTAGCTGATAATTTGTGAGATACAGAGGCCAACTTAATTTTTTTAAATATGGACCTGCATTTTTTATTTCAGATTTTGAAAGAACTCTGAACTCAGTCTCATGAGTACAATGATATGCCACACTTGATACTTTTTTTTTGTTTTAGGTACCTTAACAGCAACAAAACTATTTAATTATTATTTAAAAAAAATTCAAGTCCGACTCTGTTTTTTAAATTATTTAATCTGATTATATTCATCACAATATTGATCAGTGCTAATTAACATTGAATAAGGAAAATTGAGCCAATTGAAAGATTCAAATAAATAATATCCAAATCAACAATTTAAAGATATTATTTTTAACTTTTCTTATTGTGAATTTGAAATTCTCAGTGTACGATCTAATAATTTGCATAATATTAATCGTGGTTATTATGAATAAATTAACTTCTATAAACTAGTTTCTAATGCTTTACATAGTCTACATGTTCGAAAGGGTTACCACCCTCCCTATTGCACAAATTTATTTTTCGTTCAATTTTATTTATAGCTTTTGAATAGATCTTCTTATACTTTCGAATGCATTTTGTACTCTTTATTGTAACTGCCGAAATGTGTTGATTTCACTTTTTTGTAAAATTTGGTCCTGTCGAATTGCTTGACGTCATCAGACGGTCCAGGTACCTCCCTGGCCATTTATACTGTGCTCTACCATTTCCAATCCATCTTCCGGGGAAATGATTTGATTGTTTATATAACATTTTATATATATTATTTTTTATTACTTTATTGCATTTGATTTTCCGTATTCAACCCCCGTTATTGTTAAGTTTGAAAGCTTATCAATATTGTAACGATGAATACCTATATTAAATATTTAAAAAAATAGAGCCGGACTTGAAATTAGTTTAAATAAATTGTGTACAAATTTCCAAAACAAAAAAAATATTAAGTGTGGCATATCATTGTACTCAGGAGAGCGAGTTCTTTCAAAATCTGAAATAAAAAATGCAGGTCCGTATTTAAAAAAATTAAGTTGGCCTCTGTATCTCACAATGTATCAGCTGATTTGAAAATCTACAAATACTATTAGATAGCCCTAATAAAGTGGCTATGAAAATGTGCAATTAGTTTTTTGATTTCCTAAAAAGTATCGACAGGAAAAAATAAAATTGATTTTCAAAAATATCCGTTTTTTTTTCAAAAAAACTCAGCAATCCTTGAAATTTTTAAAACTTTTTTGATGGCATCTTGGTGAACATCCCAAAGCGGCAACTTTGCCCCAATTTAACCATGTTCGTATCTATTATGGTTACCGAGTTACCAATGCTCGTACCTCGAATTTGTAGCACCCTGTATATTCATACGCTGTACTGTTCGGTCACTCTCAGGAGTCGCACAGTGCTTCGTCCCATGGACAAAAATCGAATAAAAAGTTAAAATTTACTAATACCTGAATATGTAATTTTATACTTATAGCAATGTTCAACCGTCCTGTATACTATTTTTCATAAACAGCGCGTTTTTTGTTAGCAAATATTTTCATTAAAAATAAATTTTGCGATCATTGTCTTATCAGTGAAAAGAATAACATTCATAGTAGTTCTGTATATTATGGAGTTAAACGGTCCGTACTTAATTGAAAGCCACTATGGATATTGTTAAAACAAGGTATGTACTTTAAATTTATTTCTAAATAAGTTCGTGATTCTTTAGTTTTTATTTATTTTTTAAGATGATTCTTAAATGGGTATAAAAATTTTACGTTTTCAAACTTCAAAAAAGTATTTAAAAAAACATATCAAAACATATCGTATTTATTGAATATTTTTGTTGTCATATTCATACACTTAATTTTTGTATGGTTCACCTGCGTCTGCTTGCGACGAACTTTATTTTATAATACTTTTCAGATGGAGTAAAATTGATAAGCAATGCCGATCTGGTTAATACTTGGCTTGA